GGTTATTAATTTTTCATAGAATGTGTAGTTAAAAATAAGAAATTTTTTGGATTTACTTGTAATGTTATTTTGTCGCAGAATGTTTAGTTAAAAAATAATTTTGAAAAAATGTAGCCTAAAAGAGGGTCAGATTAATCCCACTCCAATTTGCCTATAATTCTAAATTGCAATGTATATAGACATTTGGTTGTTTTGACTTTTAACAACGGAGAACGATTTACACTATGTCGCGCGAAGCAGGCGATCAGAACCCTAGATTCTTCGTCGCCGTGCATGTTGGCGCGGGATACCACTCGCCGTCGAATGAGAAAGCCCTCCGCAATGTCATGAAACGGGCCTGCCTCGCCGCTGCTTCCATTCTCCGAAAGGTCCTCTACTTCTCTATTAACACGCTCAATTTTCTTGCTTCCAATGTTAAATGAAAAGAAAGTAACTATCTCCAATCAAATTGTTTATTATTATCTTATTAGTTGTAGCAATCCTGGTAAGTGATTTGTTTTTTTCTTTCTTGGTCTTGGTTCAGGGTTCAAGTCGATGTATAGATTCTGTTGCAGCGGCAATTCAAGTTTTGGAGGTAATTGTTTGTGTGTGTATATTTAGGTTCTGTGTAATTTTATTTTAATTAATCACGCATGGGTATTGAATTTGTATCTTTGAGGACAAATATTTTCTTACAGGATGATCCTTGCACGAATGCAGGGCGAGGATCAAATTTGACTGAGGATGGTCATGTAGAATGTGATGCAAGTATAATGCATGGTGACTCTGGAGCATTTGGCGCTGTTGGAGCAGTGAGAGGTACTCTTGGCAGGTTACTAAATTTATTTCATTGTGAAGTTGGTGAAAAGTTAAGACTATATTTTAGCTTCTATTTTTCATTTATTTTATGCATTTTTGTGAAGTTGATTGTTATCAGGGGTGCGAAATGCCATTCAGGTTGCTGCTTTGCTGGCCAAAGAACAGTTTCTTGGTTCACCACTGCTGGGTCGAATAACTCCAATGTATGATGAACTTTCTTTT